GCTCTGAGCATGGGAAGGATCACATTCGCATTGGCATAATATCCAGATAAACGGTTCTAAATGATGCTAGAAGATTGATAGGGAATGGGAAAAGAAAATATGGACACAGAGTAAGAGTCTTGAAGCCAATTATCGCAATTCATCCCTGTAACAGTAGTTTTTATAAGAAATAAAGAAGCTGACATCATGCGGAAATCTCATAAGCAAATCACCTTTTAAGTTGAGGCACATGTCAGAGGTAAGAACCAGCGTGCTCATGTCAACATCGAAGATTCAGTCCCCACGAACATAAGGGAGAATTTCAACTTCAGGCTTCTATGCTGCACAGCTGTATTGAACCAAAGTCTAGAGAATCTCGTGCTGCATCAGAACATGTACCGACAAGAATACCCGCCCACTATTCAATACTCAGGTAACATCTTGCTCAAACCTGTGCAGTACGATCTGTGCCATGCCTTGATGCAGTTCCACGAACGCTCGATAATGCACCTAATAATGTCATCTTTTGTTAATCGCATATCTGAAAAAAGCAGTGAGAAGGCGAAGCCCGGTAACTGTACACGTTTCAGTACCTTTGACAATGACCGGTATGCATAAGTAGACCCAGTAGTGTATGCGAACGTCGCATTTTTTTCCTGTTCTGTCTGTCAGAACGGGCGAACTCAATTTAACGCATGTTCACTTTTCATTATGAACATTTTGCAATGAATTTCCCAACCGAAGTCCTCAATTTCACGTAGTGAAGATACAAGGTGTTATGGTCAACGCTGCAATCTACTTTTCGGAGTAACTACCTCGGTAAGAATTACCGAGGTTGTTAGTTGATTGAACGGAAGCTTCAAATTCTGGTGTCGGGAATTATTGAGAATACTTGCAGTTCGGGGTGTGGATGAGGGAGTCGGGTTGTTCACTTAGCTCGCAGAAAAGCCAACTTCCCCAAAGCTGAGCTGTTTGATCCACGTGAGTTTGTGATAACTAAAGTGAATAGGTGCATTACCTGTGATGGTTGAATTTACTCAGGACTTTATAGCCATGGATAGAAATGTACAGACAGCGATTAGCAGACAAAAGAAACTACACCAAAGTTGGAGTTGTATTAGGTACTGCGAGAGAAACATAAGAGGGAATTGGCAGTCACAGAGAGCTCGGAAACTTAACAAAATACAGTCAGATTCGATAATAAGTATGATTTCACTTCCCTCTCGCTACAGCTGTGGCCAAGTCGAACTAGTGAGTGCGTCGAAAATACCTGCAAGCCTAAGTGGATGAGAACTAGAAACCACATGTAGAAAAAGAGAGCCTCAATCGTTTCACCGAGGATGGGCAAGCAGCACACTTAGATATGGATTGTGGGGATGCAGATGGAAGATAGACTATGGTCTGTCGATGAGGACTAGAGTTTGGTACCCGTCGAGCAGCGTGACCAAGAGGCGCAGAATGTAAACCAATAAGCTGCACGTAAAGCCCTTCTCTCTTAGATCTGATTATAATCGCCTCCTAGCAAATCTATCGACCCAGACTCACTTCGTATTCTCCTTGCGCCTCAGAGGATCGACCGCAGTAGCTGCCGGAAAACTTGGCTAAAGCATCTCTCCCACAAGAAACACTGGCCTCTTTGCATTCATTCACATGTTCCAAGTTATCACAACTTCAACCCGATGACCCGATAGTTTCTTTAAGTCAGTCTGCTACGCTTGCTTGTCTCCCTCCTACCGTTTAATCACATTGAACGGCCCTGTACGTATAGAAACGCGGTTTGAAAACTTAATGCACCAACTAGCTGATTTAAAACCTACTTCTCCTCTGGCCAGAGACACTTTCAAAATCACCTTAGTGCACCTCTGTCAACAGTATCTACACTGCGAGAAGAGATCATCAAACATTCTGTCCAAGAAGCATCGAGAAGCAATCAAAGAACTGAGGTCAAATCCCGATCTTATTCTTTCTATACCTGATAAAGGATCGGGATGGATGCTAATGGACAAATCAGATTATATTTCAAAATTATAAGTTATCTCGCAAGGCACGAGCAAACCCTTGCATGACACAATCCAGAAGAACAAGACAGCAGACGATGAAGTAAAGATTACAAAGATCTTGAAGGAATTAAAACAGATGAACTTGATAACCGATGTTCAGCTGCAGCAATCACCTCCTGTTGGCTCCCAATCTCGGCTCTACTAGTTGCCTAAAATACACCAGCGACAAGTCCCTCTACGTCCAATAATTGATATGTCCGCTACTGCACACCACTTAGTTGAGAAATGGATTGTGCAATCATTGGAACCTGTAGGCAAGGTGCTCTCTATCTATTCTTTGAAGGATTCGTTGATAAAGTTCAAATCTGAAGTTAAATGGTAAACTGATGCTTTCATTTGATGTAGAATCACTTTTCACAAACGTCCCATTGCTGGAAACTGTTAATTACATCTGCGAGTATATAACCGAAAGGGACCTAAACGTTGACATTCCAGTGCCTAAGCTCAAGGAGTTAATTTTGCGGTGTACCTTTAATAGACAATTCTTGTTTGACGGAATTTATTACAGGCAAATCGATGGCGTGGCGATGGGTCCCCCTTGGACCTCTCCTTGCCGACATCTTTCTCGCTAAGCTTTAGCGTGGTCCCATCCAAACGGTTATTGACTCATTTGTTTCTTATTGGAGGTATATGGATGACACTTTCATCATCTGTGATTCTCGCACTGATGTCAACCGTGTGCTCGACCAGTTCAACAGTGCACATCCCTCAATGAAGTTCACTAGTGAAATGGAAAATGAAGGTAAGCTGGCTTTTCTGGACGTTTTGTTGAGGAGGCGCGAGGACGGATCACTTGAGCGTAGTGTCTTCCGCAAAGCTACATGGGTTGGACAGTACACACACTTTTCGAGCTTCGTCCATCTGAAGTACAAACGCAACTTAGTGCGTTGCTTGTATTACCGGGCCACCAACATTTGTAGTCCGGAAACTCTCGAGGGTGAGAAGGACCGAATTGTGAAAACACTTCTTTCGAATGGTTACCCTGAACCTTTCATCAAAAAGCACGCCATGACCGGTGAGCGCGTTAAGCCCGCAGCAACTGTTTCGAAGAAGGATGTGTTTCTCTCTGTTCCTTTTAAGGGAGATATCGCCTTCGATCTCCTGAACAGGAGACTTTCTAATGCCGTAGCAAGGACCTACCCGGCCGCCCACCCGCACGTACTTGCGGAGACCGCACCCTTTATAGCTCAACGTCTTAAAGACAGACTGCCAGTGTCGTCCGAATCGTACATTGTTTAACAGTTTACTTGCACCTGTGGTGCCAAGTACCTCGGGCATACGACCAGGCGTCTGTCGGTACGGATGGCTGAGCATTGTCCAGGGTCACTGCGGAGAGGCACGCTCAGAAGTATCAACAGCTCGATCTTGGAACATTTGCTTCAAAGTGGGCATCAGATTTTGACCAAAGATGCCTTCAAGGTCTATTATGCCGTACCGAGGCGATACCCGAAAGGGTTAAGACAACGCCTCTTGCAGATGGCTGCAGCCATCGCGATTCGGCTAACATAACCAGAGCTATGCAAGCATAGGGTGCTTGTGCAACCCTTGATTTTGCCATGGTCCTGTTTATAAGCCTTCCACCGGAGTATTACACATAACCGGGTGCTATTTATTTATGTAATTATCTGATTTTATATTGTTGGTATTTTTGCCTCTTCTGTTTACACAAGTTGTTTTGCTGTCTGTTAGCCCTATCCCGATGTCACCTGATTAAATCGATTTGAGCATCGAAAGAACATGCTAAATCTGTTCAAACCGTCCCATCCGTCCTCATATTTTGCCTTCACCAGTTTACTGTCGCATTTATCAGTCCTGTAGCTGTAATTACCTGACGTGAACTACCGAAAAAAGATCTCTTTGCAACGCTGTGTTTTACTTTTCCATGGGCATTATCTAGGAATCAAAAGAACCCCAGAAGCTGCATGAGTATTGTGTTAAGGGCTACAACGAGCACAAGTCCATCATCGATTTTATGTGCAGAAGACATTGGACGATTACAAACCCTCAAATGGTGCCGAAAACGATGTCTTGTGTGATGCAGAAAATGAATGTTGAAAAGTAGAAGAGCACAGCTGGAAGACAGATGGATAGGACAATTACTGGACTGTTTCTCGACTTCAAAATTACTATCATTGCGATGTACGTAAGAAGACAGGAAGAAATCGACCTTGAAAACAGTCAGGTCGACGCGCCCTCTTCCTAGGCTCGCAACTAGGAGTAGACTTTTGAACACGCCATCCAGCATAGATCAGTCAGTGATGAGTCAGTGATGATTTGCGTAATGTCTTTCGCATCTTGTTGCTAAGACCTTCATCCAACATTTTCTGACTATTTTCTACCGATTTGATGGCATATTGTTGTTGCTCCTTCTTGTTGCTTGCTTCTTTATTTTATCGCTAGTGAGGCGCAAATCGTGGAGACTTTTTCCATCGAATTCTAGTACCTGGATCAAAGTTGTCTGATTGGGCTAGACCGAAGCTGTCGAATACGTCTACCGGAACAGTTGAGATCAGTGGATGTAACGCCTGAGCAAGTAAACATAGGCGTGTGTTACGCCACAGCACGTGTGACCATAACCTGTAAGCTGGCCGAAGCCCCGCCAATGCAAGAAACTGGTGTTGATCGTTTGAACGGAAGAAATATGCACCAACAATCCTCAGGTTGTAACTTATAGTGCGTAAACACTTGTGGCACAGTGACGACAGTAGAAGAAGCGGAGTAAGTGTAGGAAGACAGCTATTTACACAACAATATGTACGCTCATCTAGTGTAATAATTATGGTTCGCGCGTCATCGACGGCCAACAGTGTAACACTGTGAACAAGAACGATGGGCTGCTCACAGCTGCACGCAGCTAAGGAACACCCAGTGCAAGCTCGGAAAGACCTAGAGGTATGGGGATGGGAAGCAGGATCATCTCGGGACCGGTTCGTTAACCACTAACAGACATTCCTCATGAACGAGCGACTTCGCGTAACAAGACTGACAACCTCCTGATGAGCGTCGGCAAGCAGATGGAATAGGATTGTCTGTATTCGCTGATTAATAGACGCAGAGTAGGTGATAGCGTACAGTTACTGAAGTGGCTGGGCACATTATATGCTACATCAACTATGGACATGGAATCATTCATAGCATGGAATGTAGTCACAAGAATGCCGTTGATAGCAGAGGCGTAAGTGTTATGAGATCCACTTATTTTCTGTACATGAGGGACATGGGTTTGGTGCCAATTCGGGGGGGGGGGGGGAATGGCATTCACACACTCGGCTGGAATGCAGACGAGTGAATAGAAACAGGTTCATGGTGTCAGACAGCAGACACACACAAAGGAGTATATTGAAAAGAAGTGCGCAAACAGGTTAAGTCAAACTTACAGAGAAAAACGCACAGAGGTAGGAGAGGGAATAATACAAAGTGCAGTGACACTTGGCTTCTACCCATTAGTGTCACCGAGTGTCGGTACTGGAGGGGAATGAGACAATGTGAGGGCTTCAGTGGAGTGTGGGGGATTCTCAGATGCATGGGCATAAGGAGGCAGACGAAGAGACAGATCGTCACCTACAACATATACATCTATCACAATGGGGTTGCGTCTGCAAATGGATGAGCAAAGGGTACTTCCGGTTAGCGCGGTGCTGCCACCAGAGTAACCAGCTCCACTGCCACTACCCCAAGCAGAATCAGCGATGGCCATCGCACCGATACCGGCCCGCATGTCAGGATCGTAGATAAAGCCGGTATCTGCGTAAACATGGGTAGCGGCAGCTCTAGAACTATGGGTCTCGGAAACTCGTACTGCATGTTGCGGGCGTAGTGAACGGCGAAATATGGAGCAGGTGGTAGGGCATCCACTGGTACCACCGGTACCGCTACCACCACCACCACTGAGAAACAAGCGGGACAGTGCCCGAGGGAGGCGCCTTTGCCAGCGAGGCGGTCTTGGTCGTCCGTTAGGTTTAGGTATGTACAGAGAAGGCTCACGAAAATCCGGATCAAAAGAGGATGGATGTCGCGTGATGCTGCTGTTACAGTCTGTCTGATTGATTGCCGCCGAGGTTGCTTTGGATGAGGGCGATGACTGCGTCTCAGCCGTTGGACGGTTCAACTTTCTGGTTTCTGTCTTCCGGAAGCCCATCACATGAGGGAACGCTGAGTTGAGTTGCAGCGCAGCATTGGAAAATAGAGTGTCACGCTTCCACATCACACCGTAGCCTGCGAAATCGTGCCCGCATAAATGCAATGTTGGTCTACAGAAAGAAACAATGAAAGCATGGAATAAAGGTGAGATTGGAGATATAAAAATATAGATGTGTACATGTAAGTATATCCAGATCTGCTATTCGATTATGGCGGTACGTTGCAGTTTAAAATGGATGAATTGTCCAAACTGATCCCATCCATCGGCATATGAACTGTATCCTCAGAATGTGAAGTGACATTAAAAGACCACCAGGACTTAACATGTCCTTTAGCTTCGACAACGATGGGCACAGTTAAGCAGTGTAAATAACCAGGCAAAGGTATCTACATTGATGCAATGATGCAAAAGCTAGAGGAGTGCCAGAAGGAGATTGCCCATTAGCTTACAGATTGTTTCCACACGAACAACATGAGGCACCTTCTTGTCTACGGCAATAAGATCAGGATGTTTCTGGCTGGGGAACGCATGTAACCATATATTTAATCATCATCGGTGTCCGCAACAGTGAGACGCGCAGGCGAGCACTAAATGATGGTGATCGGGTTCGTTCGTCACATCCGCAAATACGACTGAACATGTTACGTTGTCTATGCGTTACGAGCGTACGCAAAAGGCCGGCACTGTCTGCCACAACTGGAGGGCGCAGGATCCGAAGCAGATAACTATAAGTCCAATTGGGAGGCGAGGTTCCTTGGCGCTGTTCTGCCTATCCTTAGGTCTACGTGCCCGCCGTGTATATTGAACTCGAGACCACGCGACCGGCACCAGTGACGCGTTTGCAGTGCTCCTCCCCTGGCAGCATAATCATGGCTGTAAACGTAGTTATGTGGAATAAATGTGAAATTTCGTGATGATAATGCACTGCTTTACAAAACACATGTGACATAATATTAGCGGAACTGAGCTTAAACTCTTCCCTTAGTTTAATTATGGTCTTTCGAAAATTAATTTCACATTCTAATGCTGTAGTAATTCATATTCGGTTAGATATTCCACGTTGATGTTGGGATCTATTGCTATGTTAAGGAAAGACGCCAGCAGTATGCCGGTACGCCGTACCGAAGCTTGGCAGGCACGCAACCACCGTCACTTGCGCGCGGGCTAAGGATCCTGCGAGGATCGCCCGGTTCCCTACACAGGCTCGAACCGGTGATGTCCGGGTTGCAAGGCAGACGCATTGTCATTTCAACCACCGGCCAGCAATCTTGCCGCACTGCTAGTCAGGCATTCATCGCCAGTCGTCTCGTGTTGTGCCTGGATCCGAAAAGCAACTACTGAAACTCTCTCTTTAGACTCTTTCACTTTGTGCACCCTAAATGTTGATAAGGTACAGTGTGTTAACATCGCAATCATTCACTATCCTGCTGCTTATCGCATCAGTCGAGATAGGTCGACTGTTTGGTGGTATTTTGAGTATTGTTGGCGCAGGTACCCAGTGAACAACTAAGCAGTGAATTGGGAAGGAAAGCAGGAGCCATGGTTGTAAAGTGTGAAGCGAGATGTGAAAGCATGCGCTCGGTCAGAGGTGCGATTTCGCTAGCAAATCCACACGCATCTGAATGGTGAACTGCAAGGTCGAATTGAAGGTGTTTTCTCGGTCCAAAATGGGCGGATTCGTCGTACATTAACCATATTCTCGCCTATGAGCAGTTAAGTGCCTAACATGAAAACAAACAGGAAAAGTGCTGCCAGAGTACATTCGAACTGCGTGTTTGAAGTACGCATTATGCCGGCATACAGAGTGGGTAAGATAGATTGTGTGAGTTAGTGAAAACCGGAAGGAAGCTGTCTGGCTTATGCCGCGCATTCTTCACACAGTAGTCAGTTGATTCTGATTGCGTTCCTGATAAGGCACAGATATTTGGATCCCGAAGGTTTGCGCAATGCGTTTAGATTCCGCACTTCCAGTCTCATTTTTTAGCAGTAAGGCAATTTTAGTTAAATAATGGCACAGACGCATCGGTGGGTAGTATGAATCTGTTGTTTTTGCCAATGAACTCAAAATTAAATGGGAGATGGAGTTCTGAAAATTGTGCATTTTCGTGGCTACGGGGAAGGGCAAGTAGGATCATGACCAATCGTGCATGTAACCAGTACCATAGGGAGGTATGGACTGATATGAGGTTGCAGTTCACTGACCGAAGTACGGCAATAGGGGGACAAGTTTCCAATATGCATGAGATAAGCCTGTGCTGCAATTGAAAGACAACCAAAATCCCCGACCGGTAACTGCATTCAGGGGTTTTGGAGAAAACGTTGGGTTGCCAATCGAAGGGATGACTTGAGGGAATGGTTGGTGATACTTCTGTTTTGTGATGGGCTGACAAACTCGGTGAACGACCATTATATGCGAACCAAGAAGCGACTGCACCGCAGTATATATATATATATATATATATATATATATATATATATATATATATCGCGTCACCCCAACTCAATGCACTATGGTGAGCCTGGAACACTATGAATAACACTAAATTCCACGGATGAGACGGAGGTCATTCTGCTGTCTGTGGATCGACTCCACAATGTAGCAAACGGTGCGCGTTTATTACTGGACATACCGTGGAAGGAACGTGTAAAGGATTTGAACAACCAAGAGGGATTTTCAAAGCAGTTAGTTCCCCTCGGAAATTTAAAAAGCACGGTAAGAAGACGAAAACTGGTAGATGCTTGCATTTCGTATTGTCTCCTCAGTACCGTTAGCAATAACCGCTAGGCAACTATATACTTATATATGCGTGTGACCAAATAAGCATGAGGTGCAAAATGAATGACGGAAGTTCCACCCCTATGTCCACGGCAGTCTCAAGCTGAGAAATAATTGTTTTCGACAACACTGGGCCGGATTCATCTGGCTTATCGCAACGGCCTCAGCGAAACGGAGGAAGCGGGGATTAGGGCGATGTAATATAATTGTGAACGCTGATCCGAGCTCTATTCGATGAAGCGAAGTCAGGTGCTTACTTATTGTGAAAGCCGGCGGCCTGTCCAAGCACGGAACATCGGTGGGACAGGGATGCTGGTAAATTTCACGCCGAACCCACCTTGGCAGGTGTTCCTTTATTCGAAAAGCCAAAGACAGATTGGTTCTGCCCATGTAACTGTCTCCGCAGTCAATGAACAATGATTAAACAATGCTTTATCACGGGATAAAAGCAAGTGCTTGACACGTCCCGTAGGATGGTTGCGGTGAATATGATGAAATCAAAATGTCTGGGTCATCTATCGAACGTCTGCCGAGATGAACAGTTTGATAAGTAACATCAGTGTAAAATGAAAAAATTGTCGAGCGTAAACGTTCAGAAAGACACTGGGGTGCAATGATCGTTGACGTACGGAGTGAGAAAAGTAAAATATGGTCGCTCACTTGGGTCCATTTGATACATAAATCCTGTTGAAAAGCATGCTTCGTGTAATCCACAATAGAGGAGTTTAGGTAACAAAATGCTGGGAGTTAAGAGCAACATCTAGTCGTTTTTTGAAAACATCCAACGTAGGAGAGGATACAACTGAGTGTGGAAGTGCGTTCCAGGGCTGGCAAACCCGAAGGGAAAAGTAATTCCGTCAAGACTCTAGACGGCTATATTGTTCCTTCAACTTTAAGCAGTTACCCCTGAGCTGCGTGTTGTTGTTAACTTTCAGCAAATGGTGGCATAAGTGGTTGGGGTCACTCAGTATCATACGCTGATATGAGATCCCCGCACAGCCTTCGGTAGCGTCCGCAGAAAATTCCCAGCAACTTCAGTGGTAAGAGTGATAGCGCAGGCCCTTTACATTCTTTGTTGCTCTTCGCTGTGGTGCTTCTATCGCTTCTAGGTCGCGCTTTAACCAAGGTTGCCAAGCTTGGATAGCGTATTCAACATGCGGGCGCACATAGGAATTGTGCATCATTGGGAAGATTGATGGGTCAAATCTCCCGAATGCCCTTCCCAGCATGCCGACGTGCTGGTTGCCTCTTTTCGCAGCTACCTCAGCCTGTTTTGAACAGTTGAGGTCGCTCTGTACGATCACACCAAGGTCACGTTCATGGGAGCTATTTTGCAATCCGTTTGTCCCAAGTAAATAGGTGTAGTTATGTCTATGGCGCAATTGTACAACGCGACATTGGTCTACGTTGAACGATAGTGCGTTTTGAACACTGTGTTAAGATCGAACTGGAGCCGTTCATGGTCGTCCGGTCCTCTGATCATTCGCCATATCTTGAGATCATCAGAGAAAAATAGGAAATCGGAAGTAATTGATCTCGCCAAGTCGTTAATGAACACCAAGAATAGACGAGGTCCAAGAAGCGAGCCTTGTGGTACTCCACACGTCACACATGAGTTGGTATATGCAGTGTGAGTTTGCCCCGAACGGTTGAGCTTCCTTCGTTTGAAGCACCGGCAAGTTACGAGTTCTATGGATGACCACAAGCTCCGTCATCCATATTGTACCTCATGCTTATTTGGTCACAGCCACAATTAAGTAAATAGGTCTATACCGGTTATTGTTAATGATACTGATGAGACAATACAAAATGCATGCATCTACCAACTTTTGTCTTCTTAGCGCGCTTTTCAAACGAAGAAGGAAGTCAAGGACATGATAAAAAGTCATTGTTCACGACGTCCCCGAGTCCCAAGCTTCCCTTTCCGAAGAAGCTCAAGCACACGACCGGGAGCAATGGCGCTACATCTGCGAGACCTTCTGTCTGGAAAATATAGTCGCCACTTCGTTGACAAGGATCCCCGTGTCACTCAACTAAAAGGATGTGGCCCTAGGTTTCTGAATTTGTGTTACAGTTTGAGCTAATGGTACACGCTCTTCTAGAGAATTTGGCCAGGTTCCGTAACATGCTACCAAGAGAAATCCAACTGAAAGCAACAGGGATACGACCACATGCAACTGGTTACTTAGTGCGGGCGGCAAACAGTGAATACATATGCTTGGGAGTTCACCGCAGCGACTGATCTAACATTCGTCATAATATCCGGAGAGAGACCGCAGGATGACAGTGACCATCAGGGTCATCATGACCTGGAGTGTCTGGTGCAGCAATGT